ATAGATAGATAGATGGAAAAAATTATTTATTCATATATTTTTTTTTAATCAATAGACATGAAGCATTGCCTAAAACTAACTCTGGTTATATATATCATCAGGTTTATGGTTTTCCTTTTTTTTTTTTTTTTTTTTTTTTTTAAACACTAAGATTAAGTAATCAATGGGCTGAAGGCAGAGCGTAAACCTATGATACACAGTTGAATGACAGAATTCATTTTACACAGATATCTTAATGACAGGACATTCTAAATAACTAAACAGAAGCTCTAATAATGTTGAAAACTGAGGCTTAATAGACACAATCTTTTTTTTTATCCAAAGTTCAAGGTAGGCGAAATATTGCAGATAAATGAATCCGTCACTCATCAGCAGTTTAGTTGTTTAATGCACTCACAGGAACCCTGGGCTAATGGTTTAAACTGGGTTGAGCCTATTTTTGATGAAATGAGAACTAAACCGAGAAATAGAAATTCTAACTAAATTATGTTTTTTATTCATTGTATTCAAACAAAACAATCATAAAACCAACTATTCTAAAATCCTGAATAAAAAGAAGCAGAAAGAAAATTAATCTTAGGTTATCTATACCCTCTTTACCTAAAGCAATACATTTACAAAGAAAAGAGAGCATAAGAATGTACATAACAAAAACATAAGATAATAAAATGAAATATTTATCCTTTTAATTTAGGTCTATTTTCTTTGTACTCCTAAAACAAAAAAAATGACATTATTTACAATCAGGTATAACTGACATATCAACTCAGCATATTCCCTTTTATTAACCTTTTAAACATAAACACAGATTGTGATTCATTGATTTCTTTATTCTATAAGCTGATTGCTTTCCACGCTCCATTACTTTTGCTCTAAATATATTTTTTTAAAGATCTATTTCTTTTCAATTATAATTGCTTTCTTTTTTTCTACACATTTTCTATGTTTATTGGTGATGTGTTTTTATGTGCTTTAAAATTTGTAAAATAATAGAGTCTACTAATCAAATAAAGCTGACCAATTTTAACTGAAGAATAAGTGGATTTGTTGCTTCTCTATAGAGTTATCTGGTTATATTCTCACTGCTCGTTTTTTGCAGTATTTGAAAATGTATTGCCTATGTATTTTACATGCGAGAAAAATAAAAATAAAAATATTACCTAACTCCTTGATTCATTTCTGAAGCTCTGTCTAATAATGATCCCTTGCCCAAAGTGTTTTTTCAAAGAAAGCAAACTACAAGTCCAACAGCCTGAGCAGCTTCAAACTGATGAGGACAAGTTGTTGTGCTTTACGTAGCACAGGAAAATGCCACTGAACTGGTTTCATTACAACAGAGGCTTTATCTAGGAGTTCAAGATAAAAGTGCAGGGCGTTATCTTGAGGGGCTCAAAATTTTCTAAGAAACTATGAGGAAAAATTACAAGTATTTCAATGTTTCAAAGAAATGTTCAGGAATAGAAGAGCATCATCTGCATAGGAAGCAAACCCTGGTTGAACAAACAGCATGAAAGGGCAGAAATTAAATCATGGGAGTGGGAAAAACGTTGCCTGTTTGAACAGTTTGATCCTCCTCATCGTCTAAAGAACCTGCTTTTTGTTGAGCAAGGTAAAAAGATAAACAATAAATTAATTAATCCGATTATTATTGAAATAATCGCCAACTTATTTAGTCCTATTATTCGCAAACTCAAAGCAGTTATCATACCTAAACAGTCAAAAATATCCAAACATTTTGTATTCAAAATAAGGAACCTTTTTAGTCCATTAATATGCTCTATAGAGAAGTCCTCAAAGGTCACAGTTTAAGCTTCACTTTGATTAAATTCTGTGTAAAATTACATTTAAAGGTAAGTGGAGGATTTTTCGCAAATTTTTTAAAAGATCGCCCTTTCAACTTAAAAAAAAATATATATATACACATGCACAACCATGTCCCCCCTCCCAAGAGGGAACGCCCATTGAACATGTGTGAGAGCATGCATGAGCCCATTTCTCCTCATGCACGCTCTGTTTAAAAGTCATCATAAAAGCTTACTTTCCAAAAGATGATTTGCAATTTTTCCACTATGTCAGACTCACCACTGCTAAGTGAAAAAGGGGACGAGCACGTAGGACGTAAACATATCACCAGAATGATTGACAATTAGGAGGACCACTTATTGTGATGATCCACCCTGAAAAAGAACATCCTCCACTATACCATTTAGGAACCTTTCACCATTTGATTGTTAATCGATTAATCAGGAAAAAAAAATCAATAGATTAACTGATTAGCAAAATAGTCATTGGTAGCAGCCTTAAAATAAATAAAAATTAAAGTTCCTGTCACAAGAATTTAAAATCAAACACCTTTATGGAGTCTACCTCAATTTAAGATCAAGCCTTGTTCATGATTGAAAGAACTGTCAAATAATTTCTTTCAGTTTGGTTAAAAACCCAATAAAATACATGTCACAGGGGAATTTCTGCATTATGAGATCAATAAAGTTCTATTCATTCTTTCGTCCATAATACCGATCAGCCATTAAAAAAGCAAACGTGCTGATATAACTGGCTTATTCAGGCAGAAAGTCACCTGAACTATAACACCAATCTGCTCAAAGTTGGGCCTCCATAAAGACAACTGCATGGAGGTACCATAGTTAGTTCGAAATACACGCAGCTTTTAGGGGACAGCGTCAGCAATCAATCGATATACTACTAATGCACTAAAGTTTAGAGCTGCCAAAATCTTCCTTACAAGCTGCTCATAAAATCTACTATTGAGAAAAAGAGGTTACTGCAAAGCATGCACATCTGCAGGGTAAGTTTAGTTGTCAGTCAGCAGAAACAGGGATGGGTTAAAACATTTAGCCAGTCTAAATCAGTGATAACGAGAAATTAAAATCTAATTTAAACAGGCTGGAAGCTTGCTAGCATTAGTTTTACCACTTAAGCAATGTATCCCAGATGCAAAACCATCAGAGAAAGCACAGCTGGAGCAAGGAAACATAAAAATAGGAAATATCTAATCATTTATATGAAATATTAGGTAGCATCAGTCACTTGTCTGATCGTACTACGCCTTTGGGTATTTCACTGAAATGACAAAAGATGTCAGGAAAGATAGTGCAGTAAAGTTACTCCATTTTATTCTCTTAAGCTGCCTGTAATGAAGCCAGGTAGATTCAATCATGTCTGCAAGATTTAGGAAACCTTGCAGCTGAGATGAAATAGGACTGGTATTAATTCATAATCAGTCCAAACTTAATCAAATTAACCGAATAGTGGTAATTATTTTGTTTGTTTTGTTTTTTAGGCTTTAAATTAGTTAAAAACTTGAACAGTGACTACGTCACAAACACAGTGTTACATCATTGCTGCTTCTTGTATGAATTAAACATTTCAGGTTATTTTAGATCCTAAAGACAAAAATAATAAATAAAATAATAAACAAAATATCTTAAAACGCACTCAAAGTAGAATAAAAACCAGACAACAGAACAGTGACTGTTAAATTCCTAGAGTAAACTGCAGGGGTTTTAAAGTGTTTCAACCCAAAATCACAGCAGAAGCTTGTGATCCTTTCTTTAGCTGGTTCTTGTATACACGTATTTTATCATTTTAATTTATTCATAGTAAAACTTTCTCATCTTTAAACTGTTAAGGAAAAACTTTTCTTTGTTGTTTTTAGTCATTACTGACATTTCAACCACTTTAACTTGATGTTGCTTAGAAGTTTGACGCCTATGCTGCACAAATGTAGACAAATTAAACTTGGTGTTGTTCACATATGGTTAATGATTACAGTTTATACATTTGAATACATTTGTTGTAAATGTAAAATATATTAAAGTACAACCAGTGCAAAATTAAGAAGATTTGAGTCTGTTTTTTGTTTTGTTTTTTCTACTTCCTGTAGTGGGATCAGGGGCGGAGCTAGATGGGGGGCCAGAGGTGGCCACGGCCACCCTAACCCAATCATTGGCCACCCCTACCCTTTTTCGTTGTAATACAGACGGCGGCAGCAGTAATACTCTCAAGTTGAATGTTTTAACTTATTTAACTTTTTCATTTTCTTTATGTAAACAATAACATGACAACAAAAACACTGTGGTTTATATTGCAAATCAATATACTAACAGTAAACATGATAAATACAGAATTCATGCTCTTTTCAGAACTAGATAATGTCTTATATTAGGTAAAGAGAAAATTATGTCTCTGCAAGTCATCTAGGACTCTTCCCTGAAATCAGAGATAACTACTTTAATACTAAGCAATCCATTTAATTTTGGATATTAGAACAAGTAAATATTAATTTTATGCAGAATGATTATTAATAAAAGTAGGTAAATAATGACAATGAATAAGACGTTCGCCCCAGAACTCAAAACTGAAAGAATTTTGTCCACTACACCTTTAATGAAGACAGCATAGATGTTTAAATATATGCCTCTATTTGTTAGCAAAGGCCCCCCCTCAGTGTACATTGGCTATTGCCTGGGCACCCTTATAAAATGTTCTGGCTGCGCCTCTGAGCGGGATGGGCGTGAACATAGTTGAAGTATCTCTCTTATCATACATACAGCACAATGACACGGCTGATACTGAAGGCTTCTTAATGAAACGTTGTGCTCCTTGTAACAGCTGCTGTCGTTCAGATTTGTTCTTCTTTCGGGTTGATCTAATTGTTTTAACTAAGGGCGCATAAACTGGCATTTAGACGAGGTGGTTATTTTCCAGCAAATAGTCTGATCCTGACAGCACATTCTCAGCGTTAATGGCCATTTACTGCCTCGTAAATGACTCGGTGTCCAAGTCAAAACATAGATCGGCTGTCAGACTCTTCCAACGTCTTCAGATAAACCTATCTGGAGAAAAAGGAGAGCCTTTTGCTCGTATTTTCGTCTTCCAGACAGAGTTCCGCGCTTTAAGTTCCGCTTTGGTTGAGCTTATAGCGAGCCGTTTACAAACTACCGGTTAACAACAATGCTAACAAGCTAATGATCACATACCGATCACCTCCAGGAGCTCGTAATCATCTTTGTTGATGGACCAGGGTTGGGAGCTCGGGTCCTCGGACATGGCTGAGAGAGTCTGCTAAGGCTGTTATTATCTGTAGAAAAGTGCTAAATCTAGCAGATACTGCCACCGAGAACAGGTCAAAGTAATCCAAACAGAGCCAGCGAGGGCGACACTTCCCCTTCTTTGCGAATCCCGCAGCACTCCTGTCATTCCCAAAGTTTGACACCAGCCGAGTTGCGGCCCCGCCTACCGCATTCCTACCAAGCAAAATGCTGGATCTTTGTGGCGGTGCGGCTATCAAATAGGCTCGGCTCGGACTGCCGGATCAACCCCCGGGTCCTGCGCTTCAAGATGACGTCAGCTTTTGTGATTGGCTGGGGCTTCCGTGCGTTCTTGCGTGCTTATCTGTACGCCTTAAAGTGACATCACAGTTGGGGGGATTTTCCTTATTTGTCACAACTGTAATTTGATTAATTTTAGTTTCCGTTGCATTGTGTATAAGACAATTGAATAACAATTATTTTAGTTTAACAGACAATTAGTTGGTTTTTTTTTGTCCACGTGTTTTATTTTTTGGCAATTTGTATGTGCTATTTTTGAGTCTATAAAACTGTAGATAGATAGATAGATAGATAGATAGATAGATAGATAGATAGATAGATAGATAGATAGATAGATAGATAGATAGATAGATAGATAGATAGATAGATAGATAGATAGATAGATAGAAAAACAAAATGTACAATAAGAGATAATTAATAATTAATATGTCAAGTAAATTATTAGAACATCTCAAAGAAAACTGTTTTCATAAACATGTACAGGTGTAATAACACATATACACATATAACAATATCATTATCACAAATATCACATTCATACAAAATTAATATCATTTATAACATCATATAAACAATATGTCAAGGTACCTATTGGGGTTTCTACATTATATTACTGTAATATGTGAATGTCTAGTTATGCACACCAGGACTGCAAATGAAGTGACAAATTCGTAAAGGCGGGGACGTCATATACCCACGCAGGACCCCCTTTCTTTTTTTTTCTTTTTTTTTTTTTTTTTTTGGTTTTTGAGCTTTATTTAAATAAAGTAAGTACAAACAAGTAAGACAATAGCAACAGTACAAATCTGTGGAGGCATAACAGAGGCAGATTTTAAAAAATGGTTTCTAGCAACAGAAAAGTGTGAGAGCTTTATCTCAGCCAGCTGATGGAAAATCTGCAATACATGGGGACAAGGCTGACAAGTGTTACCCATGGTTAAAACTCGGGGCCCTCCTGCATATTGGCATTTCCTTAAAAGGGGTTTAAACTGTTAGGAAATATAATTAAATGTCTATCTCTATGTATATAGTTTTTGTAAACAGTTAAATGCAATTTTAATCTCGGTAGAAAGGTTTAAACAGCTTATAAAGTCTGTTTTTGGCTCAGAACTTTGGTCAAGAGCAGTGAAAATGTGATCTTTCTTTATTTTTGTAATAACTTAGAAAGATGGATCAAGAGAAAATGTACTCTTTCTAAATCAATTTCCAGAGATTTAGTAAGGTAAGACTTAGTGTCTTACTGAAAAACAAAAAACAGACTGGTGTTGTAATGTGATATTTTAGGCAAAACCCTTCATGCACAAACAGAGATTACTAAAATCATTACAGATTTTTAGCATTTTTTAATCAGAATTCAATTTATATCTGAAATCTCTGGAACATACTGAAAAAAAGAAAACTTGTATGAAATGTTGATAGAATGGACTAATGGACATTAATTCTGAGGCATGCAGCACGCTTTGTGTGCATTTTGTCACTTTATTTTGTTTACGTAGTGTTGACTTGATATTCTCAATACCTAAAGGTACTTCTTCTATGCACTCTGTAGATTTAAATTACTACCATATCTGTTTGCACATATATTGATATTATAGTAAAAAAAAAAACTGTTCAAACTTTGATGCGGAAATGCTTACTCTGTCAAAAATAAAATTAAAAACTCTGACAGGCTAAAAGGTAGTGTTACAGTGTAGGCTCAACAGGCTAAAAGAAAACACTGGGAAGAAAAAAAGAGCAAGCTGGTTTCCAGTGGGCTCTGTGTAAGTCCATGGCTCAATAGCTCCCTCTGCTGTGCTTTTATTTAATCGCATGACAGGGATTCATAGGAACATTAATCAACAACATCTTCCGCTTTCATAAGTGCACACCCACTTTCTCACTAACAGGGGACTCCTAGGGATTTTGTGCCCCATGAATCGAACTTCTATTGAATTTAGTCAACTATAGTTATGCTGCTATAGGTTTAGACTTCTGGAGGACATAGGGACCCCTATTTCATCATTCTGCTACATTCTATCTCTATTCTCTCAATCTGCAGAATCCGTTAGTTCAATGTCTAACGTTATGCTCTCTCTGCTTTTTCTCATACAGGTGCTGGTCATAAAATTAGAATATCATGAAAAAGTAGATTTATTTCAGTAATTCCATTTAAAAAGTGAAACTTGTATATTATATTCATACATTACATACAAACTCATATATTTCAGATGTTTATTTTGTTTAATTTTGATGATTACAAATGACAACAAATGAAAATCTCAAATTCATCATATCAGAAAATTAGAATATTGTGAAAAGGTTCAAAATTGATGGCCCCTGGTGCCACACTCTAATCAGCTAATTAACTCAAACCACCTGCAAAAGCCTTTAAATGGTCTTTCAGTCTAGTTCTATAGGCTACACAATCATGGGGAAGACTGCTGACTTGACAGTTGTCCAAAAGACGACCATCAACACCTTGCACAAGGAGGGCAAGACACAAAAGGTCATCGCTAAAGAGGCTGGCTGTTCACAGAGCTCAGTGTCCAAGCACATTAATAGAGAGGCGAAGGGAAGGAAAAGATGTGGTCGAAAAAAGTGTACAAGCAAGAGAGATAACCGCACCCTGGAGAGGATTGTGAAACAAAACCCATTCAAAAATGTGGGGGAGATTCACAAAGAGTGGACTGCAGCTGGAGTGAGTGCTTCAAGAACCACCACACACAGACGTATGAAAGACATGGGTTTCTGCTGTCGCATTCCTTGTGTCAAGCCACTCTTGAACCACAGACAGCGTCAGAAGCGTCTTGCCTGGGCTAAAGAGAAACAGGACTGGACTGCTGGTGAGTGGTCCAAAGTCATGTTCTCTGATGAAAGTAAATTTTGCATTTCCTTTGGAAATCAAGGTCCCAGAGTCTGGAGGAAAAGAAGAGAGGCACTTCATCCACGTTGCTTGAAGTCCAGTGTAAAGTTTCCACAGTCAGTGATGGTTTGGGGTGCCATGTCATCTGCTGGTGTTGGTCCATTGTGTTTTCTGAGGTCCAGGGTCAACGCAGCCACATACCAGGAAGTTTTAGAGCACTTCATGCTTCCTGCAGCTGACCAACTTTTTGGAGATGCAGATTTCATTTTCCAACAGGACTTGGCACCTGCACACAGTGCCAAAGCTACCAGTACCTGGTTGAAGGACCATGGTATCCCTGTTCTTAATTGGCCAGCAAACTCTCCTGACCTTAACCCCATAGAAAATCTATGGGGTATTGTGAAGAAGAAGATGCAATACACCAGACCCAACAATTCAGAAGAGCTAAAAGCCACTATTAGAGCAACCTGGGCTATCATAACACCTGAGCAGTGCCACAGACTGATCGACTCCATGCCACGCCGCATTGCTGCAGTAATACAGGCCAAAGGAGGCCCAACTAAATACTGAGTGCTGTACATGCTCATACTTTTCATGTTCATACTTTTCAGTTGGCCAACATTTCTATAAATCCTTTGTTTTTATTGGTCTTCAGTAATATTCTAATTTTCTGATATGATGAATTTGAGATTTTCATTTGTTGTCATTTGTAATCATCAAAATTAAACAAAATAAACATCTGAAATATATGAGTTTGTATGTAATGTATGAATATAATATACAAGTTTCACTTTTTAAATGGAATTACTGAAATCAATCTACTTTTTCATGATATTCTAATTTTATGACCAGCACCTGTAGTAGCTTCACCTCGTCTGTCCCTGTTTGGCTGTGACTCCATCCTGGAGAGAAATATCAGCTGTGCTGCTGCCATCAACACCTTTGTTTATAGATGTTGGAGATCTGCCTGTTTTCAAGTGTAGTCCTGTTTCTCTGACAGTGACTGGCTGGATGTGCTCTCTTCATCATCTGACATGGGAGCTGGTTCAGAGCTCGTCTGCCCGGATGTGTGTTTTTTTGGACGGGGCCGCCGTTTACAGTTGCTTTTTGTGTCTCTGCTTCTGTCTCCTTAAACCCCAGTCGGCCTCGGCAGATGGCCGCTCACACTGAGCCTGGTTCTGCTGGAGGTTTGTTCCGCTTAAAATGGAGTTTTTCCTCTCCACTGTCGCTACAAATATGCTTAGTGGGAGGGAATGCATTTGAGTCAATGAGTCGACGCAATCAACTGATTTTCCTTAGATAGAAAACTTTGAATCAATTTGACCGTATGATGACATGTGTTGTGATGACATGTGTTGTGAATTGGTGCTTTATAAATAAACTGAAATGAATTGAACTGGTTTACATAAAATTCTTATTTGTTAATTAATCTCCAGAAGTTCTAGAGGAGTTCCTACAACAGAACTAGCCTTCTGTATTAGCTTGTTGAGGTTCTTTAAGTGATTTGTTACCCGAGCAGATGATGAAGATATCACATTGTCCACAACAGACCTACAGAAGATATGTATTATCTTGTTACAACTATAAAAAAGATCCAATTTCCTTAGGAAGTACCATCTGCTCTGTCCTTTCTTGTAGACGGCTTCACAGTTGTGTGTGTGTCTCCAGTATAGTTTGTTGACCAGTTGAACAACAATGTATTTATACTCTTCCACCACCTTCAGTTCTTCTACTTTGATGTGAATAGGTTTCAAGTTGTTCCTGTTTCTTCTAAAATCTACAATCATCTCCCTTGTTTTGTTTACATTCAGGATCAGGTGACTGTTTCTACACCATGCCACAAAGCAGTTCAGTAGCTCCCTCTACTCAGCTTCTTGGCAATATTTGATGGCAGTGATCTGAGTGTTTCTGCAGATGACAGGACTCTGGTACTGGAAGTCGGAGGTGTACAGAGTAAAAAGGAAAGGGAAGAGTACCGTCCCCTGTGGTGCTCCAGTGTTGCCGACTGCCTGAATAGACAGTTGAGCCTTCCGTCTTACAAACTGTGGTCTGTTTGTCAGGTAGTCTTTTATCCAGGCGATTGTCGATGCCTCCATCTGAGTCTTCTGAAGTTTCATACAAAGCAATTCAGGCTGAATTGTACTAAATAGACTCGAGGAATCAAAGAACACGTTCCTCACGGAGCTGTCTGCCTTCTCTAAATGGCAGTGGCTTTGTTGAACTCCACAGCAATAGACAAATTGCAGAGTGTTGTGATAGCTGCTTGTTTGCTCGCTGAGATGAACCAACAGAATTCTCTCCAGAATGTTCATGACGAATGATATCAGGGCAACAGGTCTACAGTCATTGAGGGCTGTTGGCCCTGTTACTGTAGGGAGGACGTTCACATCACTGAAACCATCTCCTGGGTCAGGCTAAGGTTGAAGAGCTGCTGAAAAATCCCACAGAGCTGCACTGCTACCATCAGGACCTTGTGACTTATCATGATTCAGTCTCTCCCTTTGCCTCTTTACTTGACTCTCAGAGACAGGTGAAAGGAGGAGGGAGCAGCACCATCTTCTGATCTGCCTGACAATAAACTCATAGAAGCAGAGGAGCCAATGGTAGAGGAGGCAGGATTTTAATTTAATAGTTTTAAAACAATTAAAATATATATTTTTTTAAATACAGACTTTTAGTCTTTTTTAATTAAAGAAGGGTTTTGGTTCTGTTTGGTCTATATGTCATTTTGGAGCAGAGCTAATCAGCTGCACTGATTACTTAGTTAGGGCTGCTCAGTGGGTAGCACTGCTTCCTTGCAGCAAGAGGTTTGCATGTTCTCCGTGTGCATGTGTAGGTTCTCTACTCCCACAGTCCAAAAAAGTTTGTCTCTGTGATGCCCTGAAATGGACTGGCAACTTGTCCAGGGTGTACCCCACCTCTAGCCCATTGACAACTAGCAATCCCTCCTGACCTCAGCTGGGATAAAGCGTGATGGAAAATGGATGCATGGATTACTCAGATAAAACATCAGTGAAATGTATAAATCTAGAGTTTTCTTTAGAAATGAGCTGTCATCAGAGGAAAGTAAGCTAGCCATGGTGTTGAGCATGGAGAAATATTAAGTCAACTTTGTGTTACCAGTACATTATATTATTTTGTCAGTATTGTAATTGTATCAGGGGCCCTCTGTAGACCCCTGACAAATCATTGGCTCCTTGAATCCCCCCCCCCCCCCCCCCATTTGCAGCGCTGCTGCTCACTGAAGGAAAAACTTCTCTAAGAAAAAAAATAAAATACTCAACACAATTTTTCAAAGAATGAATTCTACAAATGCATGGCAACAGAGCATCCGCTTGTTCTGTTAAAACAGTTCATATAAAACATTGATGTCACAGATAAAAGAGGCAAAGAGCTGCTCAGCTTATGCAAAAACACAATTTAATTTCATGTTCAGTCCCAATGTCACCTATTATTACCCTCAATAGAGGGAGTAAATATCAAATACAGACACTTAAAAAAGCTTAAACAGATAATTAAGTACATCCTACACAGCATCAGAGCATGATCCACTATTGTAGAGCTCAAAGTATCATACCTCAGCAACATGTCATTGTGCATTTAGAACGTTAATTATATCCAGGCTGAAAAATGTATGATGACAAACGGAAGTTAAAATTATGAAAAAATTATTTGTGAGTTCAAACTCAGGACAATCCCTGGTTTATATGCGTGAAAAGCCTTAAAATTTATATTTCCTCACTCTAAAAAATAAATAGTGTAATCTAATTACACTGATTTAGAATATTTTAGAGAGGTACATGGTTTTAACTGTAAAACAGGAAGGAAAACCACATAAGGTATAATGATCAGCCGTGTCCTGCCATCACAACAGTAAACAATCTTCACAGCTTCTTAACCTTTTATTACCATCCTGGTACGAGGGGCGTTCAATAAGTAATGTCCCTGACACACTTCCAGTTGTCTGATCCAGATGAAATTTTGCATGTGTAATAATTTACATCTCTATGGGTTATTTTGCAAAAAACAGCTCTGAACTATTTGTGGTTTCTGATTTACAGGTGTTTGAACTGAGTCAGCTGTGAAATGGAGCCAGTTGAGTGTCGCGCAGTGATCCGGTTTTGGTGTTCGAAAGGATGCACACCAAAGGAGAATTTTGATGAAATGAAAGAAACTTATGGCGATGATACCCCATCATATGACCTTGTAAAATGCTGGCATTGTAAATTCAAACATGGCTGGAAGTCTGTGGAAACAGCTCCCAGACCTGGTCGTCCCTCTTCTGCCATTGATGAGGCATATGTCCTTCAAGTTGAGGCAGCCATTTTGGAAGATCGACGAATTACTGTTCGCCAAATAGCCCAAGAGGTCAAGATTAGTACAGGGTCTGTGGAAACCATCATTCATGACCATTTGCATACTGTATGCATAAGGTGTCTGCCAGATGGATTCCCAGGTTGCTCACAGCTTTCCAGAAACAAGAACGCGTCGAGTGCTCGAGGATGAATTTGGGGATGTGCCAAGAAGATGACTGAAAGTATTTCTAAAGATTGATAACACAGGATGAAACTTGGGTCCATCACTATGATCCAGAGACCAAAGCCCAGTCAATGCAGTGGAAACACTTGGACTCACCACCTCAAAAGAAGGCAAGGGTGCAGCCCTCCGCTGGCAAGGTCATGCTCACAGTCTTCTGGGACCAGGACGGAGTAATGATGACAGATTTCCTGGCAAAGGGTAACACAATTACAGGAGCCTATTACGCTTCGCTTTTGATGAAATTAGGAGAAGCTATTAAAATCAAGAGGCGGAGAAAAATCAGTAAAGGTATCCTCCTCCTGCAGGACAAAGCTCCGGTCCACAACTCGCATGTTGCCAGATCAAAAGCACGGGCGTGTGCCTATTAAATCCTCCCCCATCCCCCTTAGGCTCCTGACCCTGCACCCTGTGAATTTCATCTCTTCCCAGCCATGAAGTTGTTTTTGAAAGGAAAGTGTTTCCCAGATGATGCAGCCTTGATTTCTGAAGTTACGACATGCTTGGAGGACCAACCTGGGGTGTTCTACAAAAACGGTGTCCAGAGCTGCATCAAACGATGTGAGAAATCATTACTCTGAGTGGTTCCTATGTAGAGAAAGACTAATAACTGTGCCAAGTTTAATTAATCTTCTGCTATGCGAAATTAGTCAGGGGCATTACTTAATGAACGCCTCTCGTAGAACAGGTGGGATTTTCTTTAAAGGTTTGTTTTGCTCATCAAACTGCCATTTTTACAGCCTAAAACACACCAATACTGTAAACCTGCCAGATACTGAAAGTTGAAATTGTCTTTAAAAAAAGAAGAAAAGAAAAAGAAAGAGGAGGGGCACTTTAGAAGATTTTGAAGCCATAAAAACAAAAAAAAGACTCAACAAGGCTTTAAGTCATGTGGTACTAACACTACATGATTGGAGAAGTCAGTCATTTGTACTGAGACTGAGTAATGCTAATTCCCCCGCCGCTAACAGAACTGCATCAAGAACTCTGAAATACCAGTACTTAAAAAAAAAAAAATATATATATATATATATATATATATATATATATATATATATATATATATATATATATATATATATATATATATATTTAACTAAAAGAAAATTAAAATCTGTTTTTCTATTATTTTCTTAAATAGATTTTCCTATAATGATCATTCAGTATTTCTGTTTCATGTGACTGATTGGAAACTACTCTATGAATACTATCTAGTTTATTGATTGATCATGAGCCAAACACCAAGTGGGTTAATCAACATAGAAATGGTTCACAGGACACAAAAATCCCTTCTATCCTTGGTTGTCTCAGACTGAAATCAGACAGGGAACCTTTTGTCTCAACTAAAGAGAGGAGTCTGGGCAGAAGAAACGTCAAAGTAACTTCTTTCTCTAAACTTATTTTTAAAAAGGCTCTTTTTTAAAGCTTTTTTCATTGCATCTCTAGTGGAGGTACCACTAAAAGTGGCAGCGCTGCACTTGAACCAGCAGCGTTTGGTTCTAATCCAACACGAAAACGTCAATGCAAGAAGAAAAGGCACTTCTAAACCAACCCACTCCTCACTCCGCAGTTAGGGCAATGACAGCGCTTTGGCGAGCCGTCCCCAGAACCATGCCTGGGTGCAGGGTCGGGTGTAGTCGCATACTGTCAGGAAGCGAAGGATGCTGGGAAACGGCTTCTTCATGGACTTGTAGACCACCGGGATTAGCCGTTTACTTCGAGCGCCTGCAAAGTAACCAAAGTTTAGTTAAAGATTAGGAGATTTTACACTATTAAAAAACAACAACATCAACAAAACACTTTACCAGGGCAGAGGCTGAGAGCAAACTTTGTCTGGAAATCACAGGCATCACTGTCCAGATATTCATCAGAAATCACCACCACCATTCTCTTACACCTGCACACATGAACACTCATGTTACAGCCAATGTGACAAAAAAATTAAATATGCAGATTTGCCCATGTTTATGATCTCAGGGGGACTTTAAATACAAATAATCCAACTTTTTAACAGCTAATTAACTCCATGATAGAAACCTGATGGTTCCCATATAAAAATAACAGACTATATTCAAGATTTAGATTGCAGGATATATCATTCTTCATTAAAATATTTAACAGAGAATAAAGTCAGATGGACAGATATCTGCTGCCAACCTTTTCTCGATCAGTTCACTGGTGATGGTCCACACACACGAGCCTGGAAGCACATCCCTATCAAATACACAGAGCTTCAGTTTGTACTCCGTCTGCTCCAGCTCCCGGATCATTTCATGGACGAAGTCAAAGTCGCTCTGGCAGTAGCAGATGAAGGCGTCAAACAACTCTGGGGCTCCTGGGGACAAACGATTTGAATTATATTCAGGAAAACCTCCTTTCAGGAGAAAAGAAAAAAATGCTCCTGTCTATAAAAAGAACTAACGGCAACAGGTTTACCCACATCCATGGAAATATTATTATTACAGAGGACAACTATCTGTTTGATCTAAGGTTAAATTGAATAACAGAAAACCAGCAGGGACATGCAGATAAGTGAGTTCAGTGCAAACTTAAAGATAAAGCATCGCAGTGTGAGATAAGTGGAGCTTTTCCTGTGTCGGTGCTTTGCAACTGAAAGTATTCTCACGATCGAGAGCTTTCAGGCTAGAAAAACATTTTATCTCTTGAAAACATCGCAACATAAAGCTCAAATACGCAGTTTTTTGAGCAGAAAGAACAAAATAAGACGGTTTCAAATATTACAAAAACATAAACTAATTGTTTTTATTATCTTGATATTGATGAAGGAGATTAATGAAAAAACTTTAAGGCTCAGAAGAGACTTATATTAAATGTTTTTCTTATTTCAATGTAAAACAAAAAAGTTTAAGTGACAAAACTAAGTTACCTTATAAAGGAACTGAGACTGATGCTGAGGGTCAAAAGGGAGTAATGCTATACAAGCAGCCAGAGCTACTGTGGAGGGTTCAGATGAGCAGAAGATCTCACTGAGAATTTACAGCAAGATGTTGCACTTTTAACATATTTATTTATTAGAAAAAAAAAAAAAAAAGATGGAAAAAAATGCTTTTCACCACTTTGTATTTTTACACTATTTTGAGATGATCATTCAAATATGTAGAATACTTTATATGACTCTTGCTTTTTTATTTCGCTTGTGATTTGGTGCACCATCTCTCAGCTATCCTGCTGCACAGAATGACAGCCTTTTTATTTTTTTAGTTTTTAGTTGCTGTTAACCAACAGGAAGCCTATAGTGAGGCTACCAACAACATCCTGCAACCCTTACAAAAAACAGATCAGCGGATCTCATAGGATTCACTTAAACTGCTCTAAACTTTGCCAAATTAACCTTGAATTTCTGATTGTGTTAAAAGAGGAAGAGCCAAACCTCCTGGTACGTCGTCCACCGTGATTCCAGACCTCTCTGGTGTGCGAGGGACACAGCTGTCCACCTCAGGAACCTGGAGCGGGGGCTCTGCTGACCTCTTTTGGTTCTCGAGGTATTTTCTGACGTCATCATCTGGAGGCAAAACACATATTTATATGGGGAAGAAAAAGGAAAAACACAAAAACAAGTTGTTCTCCTCAGATTATGAAAAACAATGTCAACGTCAGACATGAGTTAATGCAAAAAAGCAGCTTTTAAATAATATTAAAGAAGGACAAAAACATCATCGTCCGATGTGAAAAAATAAATAACCCGATCATTAAATGATTGATGAGTTGTGATTAACCAAACTATTTATTGCATTATATTTAAATTCAATAGGCCACACCCACACCTTTTTTACTTGGTGAAATTACATAGATAGAACCTGCATGACAGAATGAAGTAGGCGGGGAAGTCATGGGATCAATCTCTAAGGGCCCTGTCACACCTTGCCAATTTAGCCACTGTATGCCTGACATCCCAGAATCTTCTAAAATGCTTGCATACGCTGAACTTTCTATGTGTTTTTTTCAATTTTGGGCGTATACATAGAGTATTCATGATGACTCCAGAACTTATGTCCAACGACAGCCTAACTTATGCATAATGCAAGGCAGCGTAATGCTTGTAAACCTTTTTTTAAAAGTGACCAATTCCAAATGTTAACTTCATGTCTTTTTTGACAAAAATCCAATAAAAAGATGCATATCGACGTTATATGCCTGGTTTAACTGCAGTAGCTCACTGAAAAACAGCCACTTCTTTCTGTGTGTAAATAGCTATCTTTCTTTTTTGTTTTACACTTTCTTTTTGCTCAGTTTGTTGGCAAATAAAGCCCTTCATGAGTATTTATAATAATACTGCAGATGTGTGCAGAGGTTAAACAAGGAAGTGAGGGGGCTAGCATCTCCCAGCGAGGATGAGGAAAAAAATTAGGAAAATTCCAAGATCCAGTATAAGCAAACAAACACACACACAAAAAAAAGAGTAAAAAACGTTTGATTCTGGGGATAAGCTTTAAAAAGCACTAGGTTGGTGTTTACTGAGGCAGCAACAAAAGCTGCAGAGGTATTCAGAGGCCACTGCAGAGAGGACGGGTGCATTAGTAAACGTCCTTCGCAATAATACTAATGTAGGTACAAATGGTATTATGAACAGATCAAAGGTTTTATTGAGGAAAAAGCATTTTAATGCATTTAATTTGACTTTTCATTTATATACTTGAAATGCTTCTTACTTTGATGTTTTCTTGTTTGAATTTGTTAGGAGGATTATGATTATTTTTCTTTGATGCTTTCTGCTCTGCAGAAGATTCACTTGAAATTACAGTTGATTTAATTCATATTTGTTGGTCTACAACCGCACAAAGGTGTCACTTTGCCTCGAGGTATTGCAGGACGGTTGGGCTCTATTAAAGGTGTAGAGGATGATCTTTCCAGGTGGATCATCGAAATAACTGGTCCTCCTAACTGTCAATCATTCTGGTGATAGTCCTACGTGCTCGTCCAATTTGCTATCTTTTTCAGTGCACGCACGCTTTCAGGCATATATCTGTGGTGCGCTACGATTTCAGACAGTCATTGAAGCTCACCTTTCTCATTGCGGTTGTATCTAAACCGCAATGAGATATCTAGAGAATGTCTTGCGCAGAGAGCTCCACTTCCAAGGGGGGAGATAGCATAGCACAGGAGTACAGGGGATAGATGATGACTCAAACATGCAAATCAGGGACTTCTTTGACCTACTTCATTTAAATTAACTAAAATTAAGAACTTCTTGTTCTGCCAAACAGAAACCCAAAAATATGTTTATTCATGATTTGAGGTGGGCCCCACATTTCATTCTGCCTTTGGCCCCGAACAACTTAAGCTTGGCTCTGATAGGCAATCAAATTAAAAAAAATGACATCATCTCTACGCATATGTTAAATGATCATTGTATTGTGAGGGACACACTCACCTATCATAGGTTGAAGATCTTCCACAATGTCTCTCCTCTCCACCTCCTCTAGAATACTCAGTAGCTTCCCGACAGAAGCGTCAGAGCTCCGAGCCGCCCAGTCGTCCAGAACCGTCTTGGTGGGGTTCCTGGAACTCTCATAGTTCTTGATCTCCAGGTATGAGAAGCCCATAGTCTCCGCCACGGCGGTCCAGTCCGCAGCCACCGTGTGTTTGGGGTTAAGATAGAGTCCTAACTTCTTCCTCACGCTCACATTGAGCGCAACCAGGGGGACCGAGAAAAGGTCCACTTTACAGTCGCTACCATCCATGTTAGAACCAAAGGAAATGATTACAAACTGAACCTGCGTGATTCTCAACTCAAAGTTCAGCCCACTTGGCTTTAGCAGAACAAGGAAGTGTTTTTTTTTTTTTTTTCCGTGGGAGGAAGTGACTCGTTTACCAATAAGTTACATATATAAAAGCTTTAAAATCTTCGCATTACCTTTAAAATAAAGATCCGACTCACTCTAATTCAAATAATTCTTTATCTATTCAAATAAAGATTTTCTTTTAGGTCAAATGGTCTAGTTGCAAAACTTATTCATAATTTATTTTATCCTGGCCAGGGGCGGAGGTAGAGCGGGGGCCAGGGGTGGCCATGACGACCCTTACCCAACCATTTACCATTTCCCCCCTCATAATACTGACAGTGGCAGCAGTAATACTCCCAAGTGATACTACGGTAATACTCTTAATATTCATTACATTTTAATTTTTCATAGATTAACAATTACTTGACAACAAAAACACTGTGGTTAATTATGCACATTAATATACTAACATTAAAGATTAGTGCAGAATTAATGCTCTATTCAGAACTACATTTTCTATTATATGGGGTAAAGAGAAAATGCAAGTCATCTAGGAGTCTTCAGTTAAATCATAGATAAATAACTATTCTGATAAAAAAAAAACTTAGTAAATAAACCATTTTTGTAGAAATTAGTACTTGTAAATATCAATTTTATTCAGGATAATTATAGATAAAAGTAGGCAAGTAATGAGAATGGAAAAGATGTTCGGCCCAGAACTCAAACCTTAAAGAAATTTATCCAATATACCTTTTATCTAGATAGATGTTTAAATACAGCCAATAACTTCAATATGTTTTATCTGATAGATAAAAGTAGCCAAAGAAAAGTGTGGCAAAAAAAAAATTATAATTTAGTCTCCTTTGAAGCTGTACTTTGTAGAATCTTTTTTTGTTTTTGCTCGAACTACATCAAGTTAACTTTTTCAACCAGCTGTAAATATCTTTTATACTTACATTTTTTAACTATCCGGCTTTGCAAGTTAAACAGGGGTGGAGCTAGATGGGGGGGCCAGGGGCCATGGCCAACCTTGACCAATCATTTGCCACCCCTACCATTTTTTCCCCTCACATACAGATGGTGGCAGCAATAATACTCTCAAGTGGAATATTCAAAACATTTTATATTTTTGTGGTTAATTATACACATCAATATACTAACATCAAAGAAGATAAGTAGAGAATTCATGCTCTTTTCAGAACTAGATTATGTGTGATATGGGGTAAAGAGAAAGGTATGTGTATCTGCAAATCATGTAGGAGTCTTCAGTGAAATCAAAGATAAATTATAATTTAAATGAAAAATTATCAAATCATTTATGTAAATATTAGTGCTTGTTAATATCAATTTTATGCACAATGTTTATTGATACAAGTAGTTAAAGCTACAGTGTGTAATAATTACAGGGATATATAGTCAGAAATGTAATATATTATACATAACTATGTTATTTTATCATCATCTACGAGCTCAGCCTCTTAACCTTAATATTTGCATTGCCTTAGAATTCGTTATTAATAATTACATAGGAGCGGGTCTCGCAGCCATGGAGGCAGACATCTTTGCGCTATGGCAGCACAGAGCCAACAAACTAGTGATTGCGAGATCGCCAAAATGTCACAACGATGTAGAAAAAATAACGGGTATATTTATTATCTTAAGTCTACATGAAATCTATACCCTACACAGACTAATGAAATACTATCTGTAAAATTATCTATGTAAACAAACCTCATCACTTGAGAAGGTAGGTGATGCGGACGTCGTGGAAGACATTTTGTCCCGTAAAGCTCGCCGTAATGTTGGGGGAGATGTTCATGTTGCTGCAGTGTGCAGTCTGACCGCTAGATGTCGCTAAAAGTTACACACTGTAGCTTTAAGTAATGACAATGATGATTGATGTACGCCTCAGAACTCAAAATTGAATTTTATCAGCTATACGTTTTATGAAATTACGGAGGTTTAAATATATGCATCCATTTGTTAGCAAAGGCTGATTGAAAGTATAGTTTGTCTTCATGTAGAAAATATGGATGTTTTGTTAATTTTCCTGTTGGAACAGCGTAGATTGACCGTGAAGTTCTGGTGACTATCCGCTTTCAGCCACCCCTCAGTGTACATTGGTTATTACCTGCCTGGCCACCCTTATAAAAAATTTCTGGCTACGCCTCTGAAGCTAAAGATCAGACTGGATGGCAAGAATCTGTGTAGATCCATTTCCACCCCACCGATTCTGTTGATTGGACGGTAACCTGGTCAGTCTCCTAATGGCTGTTAAACCTCTGACCTAAGTGATCTCCAGCCTCCATCAGGTTGTTTTATAGCATTACATAATATTTGGATGCATCCATCTTCTGTTCAAAGTCCTTGCTGAAGAACAGCATCCCCACAGCACCATTCTGCCACCACTGTGTTAAACCTGTGTTTGGGGTGATGTGTAGTGTGCACCTAGTGTTTTTGCATTAAAGCTAGGAGGACTTTAGTGTCATTTGACCACATCACCATCTAATTTTCTAACTTGCTTTGTCTTCTTTGCGGATTTAGCAAAACTAGAAGGGACTTTGTTTTTTTTTAAGGAGCCTTCTACTTTCCGCTGTTGCATGAGACCAGAATTGTGGAGTAACTGGCCAATAGTCGATCTGTCAATTAAATTTTCTGCAGCTTCCATAAACCTATTGACATTTGCTGATCCTCTGGTTAATGCTCTCCTTCTAAGGTCTGAACGCCTTGTTCTGGTAGGCTTCTTATTTGGCAGTGCTTTTTTTAAGCGTTTTTTTTATAGCAGTCCCAAGAATGCAAAAACAAATGCACATGACATTTTTATCATTTTTATTAAAAAAAAATTTTTTCTTTAATTTCGCTACTTTGTGTTCATCTGTAACATAAAATCCTTATAGAATACACAGATGTAAAAAGGTTGAGGTATTACTTGCAAGGCATATTTGTATCGGTTCAGCTTTAAGGAGCTAAAAGTAGCCTTTTTCTACTCAGATGACTTCCCTTATAGGCTGTGTGAAAATTGATGACATGACCCAGAATTTAGATCTTAGGTTTCATTCCTCCTCTGCAGCGCCACGTTTCACAGGTTTTTACTTTTGGAGAAATAGAAGTCGATGCCTCTGTCTCTGTGCTGTTTGGGATGGTGCGACGGGCCTTTCTTTCCTTTTGGTGATGGTCCTGCACCGCTCTGAGGACAAAAAAAAGGTCAACAATTAATATTCTTTAGGGTAAAAGTTATTAACAGTTCATACATGATTAAAATCTAGCTAAACAGTTTGATTGCAATTTACGGTTAGTTTGCACATATCACAACTTCCATATGATAACTAGGAGCTCTGGCATTGCATCATGTCAAATAACAAATTAGAGATATTAATTGATAAAAACCATAAAAAATGTAGATTATCCAACATTACTATTTTCTTTCCAATTACTGTCTTACTAAGCACATGTGCTCCCTCACTATTGTTTGCAACTGTTATCAACAGAAGTGTCTTTCCCGCCTGGTTTTCACTTCCTCTTTCTAAGAAACCCGTACCGGTTTCTTGCCAAAATGTCGGCTCCATTCAGGCGCAGTGACCATGGGGGTTGGGTAGGTCTCACCGAGCGACACTCCAGCGTGTGACAGTGAAGCTGAGCTCAGGTTCCAGGGTGTGTGAACGTCAGGGCCCCTGATAGCACCTAACTCTGGGACCCACCGTCTCACGTACTCCCCCTAAAGAACAACCATTAGAAACAGGTTATGCATTGTCAGATAAAACCTGATTTCCTCACACTTTGATTTGCTTCTGACTATGACGCAAAGTGTGACACATTTTTCAATCACACAGATCACTGAAAAAAAGAAAAGAAAAAAAAAAGGCTAAAGGAGATAGAACTTCTTTTGAAACCTACATTGTTGTCATAGTCGAGGGCTTGTTTGATCATGTTGAACTTCCTGTTCTCTCTGGGGTCATTTCCTATACCAGCGCTGTAGAGCCAGTTCCCATAATTGCTGCAGACATCATGATCGATCTTATAGAGAAAATCAAACCAAAGTAAAAATACATAGCAGAAATATTCAAAAATCTGTGCAAAAAGTGTATATATATATATATACACACACATATATATATATATATATATATATATATATATATATATATATATATATATAAATGAAACATTGTGGTCTGATTAACTAACTGATGCGTCACAACGTACCAGCAGGTATTCAAACCACTCAGCTCCCAGTCTCCAGTCAAGGCCCAGATCCTTTGTGAGAAAGCTTGCAACATTTTGGCGCCCCCTGTTGGACATGAAGCCCGTCAGTGCAAGTTCTCTCATGTTTGCATCAACAAAAGGTACGCCTGTCCGTCCCTCTGCAAGTGGGAAAAGAAACACACAAAAAGAAGAGAAAGATACAAACACCGTTTAAAAGATGTTCAACATACTTAAATATTATAAACAACATGTTAAGAACTCAAACCTTTCCATGCATCAAACAGCTTTGTGTCCATCTTCCATGGAACTGACTTTCCTTGAAGCCCTAAAATCAAATTAAAAGGAAGTATTTTCAAATTTAGGGCCCATATTTACTAAATTATTAAACAGACTTAAATTTGTTTTCATTTTACCTTTTAGCTGAAACATTTTGTTTCCATATTTAATGCCCACAAACTTGAAGTAGTCCCTCCACAAAAGCTCAAAAATGACCCTGCAAAAGAAGAAGAAAAAACAAAAGATAGTCAAAGCATCCTGACTGGATTGTATGTGGGGTGATACACAGCACCTTGCAAAAGTATCCTCTAAACTTTAAAAAAAATTTTCACATCGCTGTGGCATAAAATCCAGCCAGCTTTATTCTGATATTAAGCAACTCTGGAGGAGCTATAGAGAATCCCAAGGCTAATAGAAAAGCTGTTAATGTGTCTTAGTTAACCTCATAAATCAGGTGTCTTACTTATAAAGCTTGTGTATGCACAATAAAACAAGGCCTGCAGCTTGTATTAACATACATTTTAGAGGAAGGAAAAATGGCAACACAGATGGGGTGGGGGTGGGGTGGGGGAGGCGCGGTTCGGATTGAATTTTAGGCCGAGTCTTGATTGTGCTCAGATAATCAGTTTAATACCTTAATACGTTTTTTAGTGATGGACTCTGCAGAAAGTTGCCGACCTCTTCACACCATGCCGTTCAGCATGTGCTCCATCAGTTTATGTGGCCTACCTACCACATGGCTGAGCGGCTGTCATTCCCAAACACTTTTATTTTCTTATTATGCAGCCAAGAGCTAACTGCGGAATAATTATGGGCGAGGAAATTTCATGACTGGATTTGTTGAACAGGTGGCATCCTATCAAAGTTCCTCGCTGGAATTCATTGAGCTCCTTAGCGCGAGCCATTTGTTCACAAATGTTTGCAACAACAGGCTGCCTGCTGAGGTGCTTGCTTTTATAAAGCCGTGTCCATGGAAGTGATTGGAACAGCTGATTCCAATCATTTGGATGGGTGAAAAAAACAGCGCAGAAAAAAACAGCATCTAAGCTAGGCCAGACATTGGAAATGGGAATAAAAAGGCCAGGTCACACTGTCTGCATCTGACTCTGCAAGCTAATAGTGTTTATAAAGAGGCTCCTGCTACTTATAGGTTTAGGGGATTCTGATCTGTGGCATATTTTCCCCCTCAGACCCACAAATTGAAAGCATGTCCTGCATTTCACTGGGTCTGATTTTAACAAAGAGAAAATAAATAAATCCGATATTCATATACATACACACAAATAAAATTATTCCAGAATTTCCCAGAAGGAGTAATCCCGAGAGATAAATCAAGTTGAGTCCAAGACCAAGTCTATATGCATAAACTCTCATTTCAATAAATAGATATCACAAAGTGCTGCTTTTCTCCATCTTGGGCTTTTTTTTCTTCCTTTTTTTATTAGATGTGTAGAGCACAGACACAAGGTGCTTCCTGGTCACCAGCTCCTACCAGCGCCCTCTACAGGAATTAAGCAGAATCCTCCATTAATGAACTTCCTGCCTGAAACCATTTTTTAAGGAAAAAAAATAGTTCTTTAAATTCATCTTTAAATCTGACATATCAAAGACTGGGAAAAATATTAATTAAGTCTTCAAAGCCATTGTTAACACAATGAGTCCCACGTTTTTCTGCTCACAATACTTCCTCCTACAGCTGAAACAATTAATCAGATTAATTGATTATTGAAATAATGGTCAACTAATTTAGTAATTGATCCATCGTTAACTGGAGGGCAGAGACTCCGAAACATGCCTTTAGCTGACAGAGCAAGTCGCTTAGAGCAGCTATCATACAGGAATTGCAACAGAAAAAATATATAAAGATTTGGCTTTTAAGATGAAAAAGTTTTTTTGTCTGTCAATATTCTCAATCCAGAACTCCACAAATGAAACTGTTTTAGTTTCACCTGGTTTAATTTCTTAAAAAGTCTTCTTTAAGGATCCTTTGGCTATCAGATTATTAATTGATTAATCAAAACAAAAATCAACAGATTAATTGATTCACACAATAATCATTAGTTGCAGCCTTAATAATTCCTTTCATTTCTTTTTTTTTTGCCACTACTGTAGCTACCCAACATATTTATCCTCTTCTTAATCTCACTTATTATTACATCTATTGCCCCCTCAGTTAAACTACCCCCCTTGAAAAATGAAAAAATGTTGATCTGCTGTTTATTTAAAAAAAAAAAGAATGATTTTTAGGAAGGGTTCCACTTTATGGCTAAATGTGGACACAAACAAGAGGAGGAACCTTGAAGTACAGCTGTGGTAAATTGCATGCTGGGCAGCAGCATGCTCATAGTTTTATAGATGTACTTTTACATGCTATTTCCTCATTTTGTGGTAAGATACACTTTTAGTAGATATTCTACTGAAATCTATCTACTCTCTATCAGGAGTAAAAGCTGTTGTTGAAAGTAAGTCAGAAGACCTGCTTGGTATTCAACACAGGTTATGTGGGGGAAACAGGAAGAAATCAAGATTAAGTTCTGTTTAGGAAGATTCCCTGAAAACAACTGCTATGTTAAGACATGGGGATGGATGCAGCATGCTGTGGGGTTACTTTATCAAAGTCTATGGCTGTATTTTTGTAAAAGTTTAAAAACTCTGAATACTTTTGCAAGGTACTGTATCAGAATATTATGATTTAAGTGTGAACACTAACCAGTAGGTGCTCTGATTGGCTGTCCGCTCCCGCTCGTACTTTTTGATCTGATGGTAAATGTACCGCGGAGAAATGCATCCCAAAGCCAGCCTGCATAGCACCGAGGTGGGATCATTAGAAACACATTAGAGAAGCAAAAAGGAGTAAATGAAAACCATCAGAGATGAAGGAGCAGTGAAAACTATTTAAAAAACTCACCATGGTGAAAACTTAGTGGAGTAATCCACTCCAATCAACCCGTTACGAGTCTCTTTGTAAGTCGCCACTGCATCCTAAAAAAAAAAGGCAAGGACCATTATGTTACTAGCAAATTTTAACTGCGATACACAGAAGAGCGGATTGTATTTTCCCCTAATGAACGTTGTACTCACAGTGTCCCAGAAATAGTGCTGGAGTCTTGCAAGGACGCTGCTTTCTCCTCCAGCGCATGGGAAAGCTGAGCGAGGGTCACTCACAGGCTCTGGATGATTAAACAGCAAGTCCATTTGATTATCAGAAACAATTCTCTAATGTAAATAAATAAAAAAGCTGTCCCACACCCTCTCAATAAAGAGAGTCACACTCAGCAGTTTGTCTACTGATTACATATATTATATATATATAATACAGAGCACTATTCACCGGTCTGCTGAAGGTCCTCTGCTGTGGGAATAGCTCCTTCTTCCAACCCTGGGGGAAGAGGATTCAGCCTCTCAGGGGTTGGCAGCACAGGCCTCACCCTGCTCTTACTCTCCACCGCTTTTCTGAACTCTGTGTAGACATCAGGTAGCCTGCAACCGTGGGCGACACACATTTCTACAACGTCTTTCAACACCAGGAACGTCTCTTAATCAAAGTCATCTCATTACCACCGACTCACACCTGGATATATGTGGAAACGGTAGATCCTCTCTGTGGTACAGCGTGGAGCCCCAACAGGTGTGAACTTGCACCTTTAGCTGAGCACAGACTTCCTTCACCTTTTTCTCCACATTCAGCTCTTCTGTAGCAACCTGGGATTGAACACATGAAAGAAAAGAAAAAAGGTTTTATACAAAAATCTTACTAAATTCTTTGGTCATGTTGCAACTACAACTTTTATTGTGTTTACTTAGGAATTTACATAAATAGATCTACAGAAAATAGTAGAAATAGTAGAAAAAGAACACATAGTTTTATATTTAATTGATCAATATCTTATGGTCAATAATCGATATTATTATACATCTGCCGACACTTTGTGAACACTGTGAAAACAGCCCAATCCTACACTGGATCTTTCTCACTTCCCCTCCTGAAACAAAAATGGCGACTATGGCGTTGACTAACCATCTTTTTGCTAATCGATGAATGTGTTGATTATTGTTTTTTATAAAAAAATCGGATAGGGAAAGGTTGCTTAAATTTTTATTTTTACAGAATTCAACCAGGTGAAACTAAAACTTCTCTACTTGAGTAGTTCTGGATAGAGTACAATGATGGACAAATAGTTTTTATCTTAAATGCAAAATGTTTATCTATTTTCTTATAATCTTTGGTATAATTTTTGCCCTTAGTGGGTTTCCCTGTCAGCTAAAAGCATATTTTAGAGTCTCCAGTAAACGATTAATCAATTGCTAAATTAGTTGATGATTATTTCAATAATACATTTATCATGATTTAATCTGATTAATTGTTTCAGCCCTAATGGCCGCTACATGGAAACATGATATTTTTAAAAATGACCACCACTGGCCGATGCCGAAGTTAATGCTGCATGCCAATTACCTTTATTGTTCTATTTGGAAAAGTTAAGCCCAAGCTTTCCATATCTAGACTAAATAATTGTTGCTCATTCTTCTTTAAGAATAATTATCTCTGCAAAGCGCTTTCTCCGTTTTGCAACAGGTTTTCTAACTGATCTAGGTCTGGACTTCCAACTCGTGTATAAGTTTTCTTCTCATCAACCCATCGAACCTCTGACTGTGGAGCTAGAAGGTCAATCTCTGCCTTCGTCTTCAGTCTATTTCAGCTTTTAACAGGTTTTCTTATCCAGTGAATCTTCTCTGTCCCCTGCTGAAGAGGGGCTCCCTTACAGCCCGATGCTACCACCACCGTGTTTCATGATAAGGGTGTGTTCAAGGCAAGTTTTTTCCCTCAACACTTAAGTTCCCTTTGCTGCTTCTCTGAATAAAGCTCTCCTTGCTTTGCTAGGAGAAGCTACAGCTAAACACCTACAATTAACAGCTTTCTATGTGTAAAAGAAAATAAACAAAATCATGTATTATTCTCATTTCACCACATAATCATGCAAAACTTAATGTTGGTCTGCAAAATAAATAAATAAAATTAAATAAAATACACAGAATACCTCTTCATGGAAAGCCACACTGCTAACGGAGCCGAGCTGCTTGATGAGGTCAGCGACCACCTCCTCCGGTTTACCATTCCTCACCACCAGATTGCTGTCACACACACAGACACACATACAAAATAAAATAAACAAGCAGACCCACACATGGCATAATGCCACACAGCTGCATCCTGGGCAGAGGGGCGACTAGATGGAAAAAAATGATGGGAACAATGTGTGCAGCAGCAATGCTAGACCCAGGTGTATCCTGATCCTGTTCAAAATGTGTCAGTGCAATCCTAGAAAGCCAAGAACATTTTCTGCACATTTTACAGCTTAGAATGACTTAAAGAAACCTGGGGTCGAGTAAACAGTGTTTATTTTGCCCGAGTTCTCAGTCGTTTTAGAAATATATAATACTAAAGTTCAAAATGAAAATCTGGCAGATATTTCTAGAGTGTGCAGGTGTTTAACGTGAATGAGGAAAAAAGAGGTAGAGCACATGGAAGGAATGAAAGGATGAAGGGGAGACGAGGTGTGAAGTTAATAAGAACAGCAGACAGAAAGGAGCAACATTTAAGGTAAAAACCAAGGATGGAAGTGAAGAGGAAGAGACTAAAGGAAGGGCAAAACGAAGAAAGCATCACAGGAAGGAAGAAACTGAAGAAAAAAAAAAGGGAAGACCAACCTTCCCTTGCTGAGCAGCGTGTTTCTAAGGTCTCTGACGCTTTCCAGCAAGAAGCGCAGGCGGAAAGGCCCAGTCTTTGGCAGGTTGAAGTTATATGTTCCCACATAATGTCTCGGGTCAAAGCAGTACAGAGGGACTATATGCTCCGAGTTTCTCTGAGCCCAGTGGAAAAGCTGCAATTAAAAAGCACAGTCTCAGGATTAATACACATCTCTGGGTAGACTGAACTAAACACAGTGAAAACATAGTTAAATATTAAATAATGTATTTTGTGTTTAAAAACATGAAATCTAACAATTTTTCTATAATTTTCCAACAAAATCACTTATTGGATAGAGGACTATGCCTCACTTTAGAGGGAGAAAGACTTTACCTGCTGGAAAATGTTCAGTCTTTAAAAAGAACCCAAAAATAAAGTCATCTCAATGGAATCTATAGAGATGCACATGAATACTCTCAAAGAAACTTTCTAAACTATATTGGGAAAGCTGCAAACAGCATGTTAGCTGCTGACTAGATGCAGACTACTTGAGTTGAAAGCCTTTAAATTAACCTAGCTAATGCCAGCTTATTATTCTCCCAGTGCTGATCTGTAAAGAACAACATCCATACAACCATGCCAATAACTATTAAACACAACAGGCATGTTTTTGGACTGTGGGAATAAAGCTGGAGCCAGGAGAGACGCCTCACACAGAGGGACAAAATCCAAAATAAAATAAAAAAAACAAAAGAAAAAAAACAAAAAAACACTGCAGGATTCATACACCAACAGAACAGCAAAATAAAACGTTTAAAGATTCTGCCATTTTCACCTGAAAACTACTATTACATATAGAAGCAGAGGTGGTTTGTACTCCGATACATTTACATTAAAAACATTTTGAAAAAATATTTACTCTTAGAAGTAGTATTACTGTAAAGTACTTCTCAATTTTACTTAAGTAGTATTAATGTGTAGTATCACTTCTCCTGCTTGAGTAACTCGGGTGAAAAAGCAAAAAGACATAGTGTCAATGGAAATTCTCCACCCTCTTCCTAACAAATGTACAATTCTCGCTGCAAGGATTGGTTTAATTAGTTTTATGTTGTTTCTTTAGTAAGAATTGGTATTTTTGTAATAATTTTATTCACTTATACCTTTTCAGTTTATTTTAGTCTTTAAAATACCAGAACCTTCACATAACACCTGTCTGACTACATAGTTTCTACACATTAACTATGTGTGTAACATGATTCAGTAGCCTATTTTTACCAAACACTTTTAATCTTACTTGTACGGAAGAGGATTAGGGCCACTGAAAAAATAAAGTTAACTGATTTTTAAATATTATTTCAGTTTAATATGGGGAAAAAAGTCAGAATTCTGACTTTAATCTTTAATCTAGCCTTTTTTTAGATCCAAAATTCCAAGATTAAAGTCAGAATTCAGAAAAAAAAGTGAGAATTCAGAGATTAAAGTTCAGAATTCCCATTAAATTAAATAAAAATTTAAAAATAAACTTTTTTTGTTATTTCAGTTGACCCTAATCCTCTTTCGTATACTTAAGTAATTTCTTGAAATATTTATTTTTACTTATACTTGAGTAAAAAAAAATATATATATAAATAAATATATATATACACACACACGTTTAAGTAGTGCTATTCTTGCTTTGGGTACTCTATACACATCTGCTTGTTTGATATAATATTTTAGTTTGGGAGTGTTAAATTTAAACATATTGAATGTTCTCTACTAAGAGACAAACATAAAGGAGTTTTTTTTTTTTTTTATTGTTGAAATGTCAAACTAAGGGCTTTTATTTTTTATTTTAAGAGGAAGCTTTTATTCTGAAGGAAATGGTCCCCCGGAAGTAAACAATTTAACTCCTTGTGTAATTTGAAGCGCTTTAAATAGTAATACTTTCTCAATTCACCTTTAAATAAAGCGGTTGTGCAACAAAATGATCCCAAACTAAAAATAGTAGCTCGGATTTAATTTACCATCTCCGTAAAACAAAGCCTGAAAATGTAAACATTTGATTCCATGTTTATGTTCTTACCTCGTTGTCATGAAGGCGCAGGTCGTTCCTTAGCAAACAAATTACTGTGCGAGAGGCTGACATTGCAGTTAGCTAACAGAAGAGCACAAGTCTCATGTGAAAAATATGAAAGCTGTAGTGAGAAGTGGTGAGCTTGTCTATATGTGGCTGCTCCTGTTCTTCTGCTGCTGGTGATGCGTTCAGGGTCACGTTTCAAGGCACGTTGTTACAAAACCTCAGCTTTTATAAGAAGGTTTCCTTACAGCTACATGGCGCCAGTTGTAATTAAACTTTACTTTGAGTTTCAAAAGATTAAGATTTTATTTTTATTTTTTTTTATTTGCATTCGCTCATTTGTTTCTATATGGTTAATGAAAATATATATATGAAAGAAAATACATATAAAATATGTTGAACTTGAATTTTTTTTTTCTATTCACCGAGATAGGTTTTTATTATGGTTTAAGCAGTATTTTATTTTTCCTCAGCTGAAGTTGAACATTTTGTGATAATGATAAGGAAACTACTGACCATCTGTTTTTCAGGGGCAGAGCTAGAAAAAGAATACATGGGTGGCCAGGAAAGGAACTAAAGGGTGGCTGAAATCTGATACCAGTTTAGGGTCAGTCTGCACTAACCACACTGTACTAACTGGAAAATGAATGAAAAACATCTGTATTTTCCAAATAAATCAGTAAGAACAGATCGGATTTGAAATGAAGCCCTTGATAACAAATCTACACATTTATACGTTATGTAAATTGGTTAAGGTTTGCCATAATACACACATGGTTGATCTTTACCTCTAATTTGATAGAAAAGCTTTCCCTCCTCTATAAAGCACAAAGCCTAATTATGAAAATAGCATTTATGTTTCTGTCTTATTTAGTAGGTTGAATAATTAATTACCACTGCCACGGTTTTTAGACAACTTCTTGTTTTCCTCTAAGACATACAGCAGCTAGTAAATAGGGGTGTAGAAAAAAATCGATTTGCTGATATATCGATCTTTCAATTCCAAATATCTATAAAAAAACAAAACATTTTTACCTCAAACAATGAGGGGAAATTGGGCTAATTCTGCACTGCCACTGGCAGATAGTGCAGGGCAGCCCTTTTGCTGTGCGGCAGAGCATCATATGTGAAGTTGAGGCAGTCAGAGTGATGAACATATACAGCACTTGCTTTTTTATTTATACATTTAATTTTGAAAGCTAGGAAAAATATAGCAATATATAGTGATATTGCAATATCGTGATAATATTGTATTGTTACCCAAGTATCGTAACACGTATCTGATCGCATCAACCCTAGTGGTAATGTAAGTTCTAACAGGAATTATGGCCCAATCCCAAACCGGCCCCTAAGCACTATCCCTCCGCCTTTTATTTATCTATATACTTAAATCTTTTCATGTTCCCACAGAGGGTCATCCTAAACCATGTAGTGGGTTGTGTCAGTGGAACATTCAGCCCTTAAATAGCAAGTCTGCATCAGTTGTAGGCTTGCATGTGTTACAGCTCCCTGGTGGCAGAGGAAACACGTTTCGCCAAATGTAAATTTCGCTAGTTTGCTGCATCTTTCCAAAGATGCAGCAAACTAGCTTCGATCTGTGCACTCCATTCCAAAATGGAAGGTCCTCTGTGAAATAGTTTATTTGACCATATACATTTGTTTTAGGAAAGGGGCAAGTGATTAATGCTATGTGAATCTGCGCCACAGAGCTACAGCCATACACGGGTAGTCGCTGTGTTGCCATAGCAATGACTTGTTTCCTTTTCCATTTGAGGAAAGAGGCCGTCCCATTCTCATTTATACCCCCCCACCTTCAATCAAGGTGCCTTCCACAGCTTAGGTAGGGTAGAGCTTAGGGGTGGTTTGGGATTCAGCCAACATAGTTGGGAAATCTGTAATCCACAAGTTAAGGTTTCAGAATTTGACTCTCTAATACTGTGATTTAATGAAGTTTTTTTTCACTTTATATATTCCCTTAAAGTAAAACAAGAAGTTAAGGCTAAAAATCTTCTCAATATCATAAATAAATAAATACAATCTGATAGCATGAAAACTTGTAGCTGTATAATTGATCTATTTGTTTAATCAGTTTTTTTTTTTTTTACATTTTCATGTTACCCAAATGTGTATAATAAAATGTTATATTATACTACATTGTTTTATTATTACATTATATAACCATGTCATATAATGTAAATATGTTAAAATAAATAACATAAATATATTATTGTTATTATGAGAATATAAATCTGGAAACCTTCATAATAATAGTTTACATTCAATGTTAGATGAATATGTTATTTATGTTAGAAATAAAGTTATAAAAGTATTAATTTATAATAATAACTAAATAGTAACTAATGTTACTCTGCCTGCTATGCATTTGCTTGTAAAATAATATTCACATCAATCCTATTTTCACCTTATAAGAGTAGGCCGTTCGTTTTGTGCAGATTTTTTATATTTAAAAGAAAAATAAATAAATAAAATCATGTGATCAATGAATGTGAAACATAAGAATAAAGATATGACACCGTAAAACAGTCGTAGAACTCAGATTTATTAAGTTAAATGTACAAAAGATGGATTACTTGATACATTTCATGTTTCAAGGCTTTGTCATCTCAAACAAATCAAGCTCTGTCTCAATCAAAAGCCTTCCAGTCTTTTTATATCGCCTGCCAATTCTCAGACATTCCTACACATTCTAGTTGATCTTTTTTTCTACTTGCAGTACAGTCTGCTGTATAACTCAGACTCTACTCATCAAATAGATCTGTTTATAATGCATATAAAAGTGCAGAACAATATATGTACAGAATAAGTGAACTTCAGTGAACCCTGGATGTGCTCTTAACAGAGCGACAGGGAGGCTCTTGGCTTTGGCAGTGAGGGTCTTTGTTTTTAAAGAGAAACTGATAAGGCACTAATAAGGGTTAAAGACATTTGATCGCTCCTTAAGTGCCGCTGTATCATAGCTGCATCTGAGTTTTCAGCTAAAGAAAACTGTTCAGTTCTGTGGGGGGGTCACACATGCTCTGTTTGATTAGAGCTAAAGGAGAGCACATCTGGATTGTGGACTGAACTTGCAAACCAAATCAGAAATTCAATCTGCTTTCCTTAATGCAGGGTTCTTAACAGTCTGGTTTAAGTGTTTCCAAGGTCTCAATCTGGAAAAGTATGGGAAAATGTTGCCATTTCTAGATTTTATTTCCTGTTCCGTTGTCTAAAAGTAATTTATACATTTATCCTTTCATCCATCAATCAATAAGATCCATTATCTCCTTTATCCATCTCACCTGCCCATTTCCATCTGAACATCCACCTATCCATTTAACTTTCCAGCCATCCAACCACCTTTTCATCCATTCCACTGTTCATCTAACCATTCATCCATCCCATTGCAGAAAGTTCAAAGTGAACTGTTAAATTCATACTTTGCTTTTAAACATAGGTTCAATAGGACCAAGAGATCCAGAATGTGAGCCTGGAAAAGTCCAAAACTGTTATGGAACCCTGTGGACATTTAAAACACCACAGTAACATCAATGCATCTGGTTCAATCTGTGCAGTCCAAAGTGCACAAAGCTGCCATAACGGAGAAAAAGGCTTCAGGGCTTTGAGGTGAACAAAAATAAAACAATTGGCTGTGACTAATACTGCATGTTCTGCAAATCTTCTTTGGCCAATGAAAAAATGGAACAAGGCTCACCTGACGGCGAGATGGAATGATGATATCTGACTCAGACAGCAGTGCTGTTATTGCTTCAAAGACATTGCACACAGATGCAAATGTTGTTGTCGAAATTCAACATAACAAAAAAATACAAAAATATCTCCTCAGCTGATTATCTCCAACATGTAAATGTTTGAATACATGACATCAAAGTGCAACATTTTTTTAAAAATCCTTCTAAATTGGGAGTTTGGAGTGCTAATAAAGAAAGGAAAGGCATTTAGAAAAAAAAAAAAAAGACATTCATACTTACAAATTGCTTTTGTAAGGCCTTGACAAAAATGCATTACTTTTGTCCAAAAGGTGACTGTAGAAATCGGATCAAAAATGACCGTTCATGTGGTATAAAAAATATTTTTCCATCTTAAATTCACTCAGCAGTTTTAAGCTGATGAGTAAGTTACAGTACTATCAGGTGTGAGCTGATTTACCATTAGGTCACAGTGTCAACTTAACGTGGATACGCTGAAATGAGACGATAAACGGGCTTGGAGAGACCGTCTCTTTGCTCCACGTTTGGACACTTTTCCTTTTCTCTCCGTAAAGATTGTTGACCCCGATCCTTTGAGACCTCAAAGTGCCATCTTAGCGGGCCCCTTCTGAGACATCAGCTATGGACACCTGAGGTCCACCCGCAGTCAGCTTTGCCTTACGGCATACAGTCTGTGTTGAGCAGGGTTCTGAGAACTGAAGGAGGCATAGGACAGGGAAGATGGAGTGTTTCTGAACCCTGAAACCGGGTAACGCGAAGAAGGGGAGGACCCAGGACCATATAGACCATGTAGGTGGGCAGGGAGGTTTGGGGGGGGGGGGCTGGTGGAGACTGGCGGAGCTTCATCAGAAGCTACCCTGGACAAACGGGTGGCTGAGCAGAACATCTGCTGTTGGGCGCCACTTCTCCTCCACAAACACCTCCCGCAGGAAGTCCCTACAAGATTCGGACACGCCCTCTGGCAGCATGGGCTTGGTGGGCTGGGTGGCGATCTTAAAAATGGCGGCCATGGCCTCGTACTCGGCCCAGGGAGGTTTCTGAGTCAGCATTTCAACAACAGTGCAGGCGACGCTCCTGAAGAAGAGCAACACAGGAAAATGGATTAGTCATTAATTTACCAGAAAACATTAAATCAAAGTATAAGTTTTGACTAACACATTATTATTATATTTCGATTCAAAGAAGCTACACTGTCTTGCATAGTTTTTCACAGTCTTTCCAAAGCATTAATTGGACTTCAGCTCATCTATTAGCTTAACGTACTCTTAACTGACTCTGGACAGAATTTTAGTAACATTAGAAACTTCCTAACCAATCAAAGACCACAAATCCAAGCTTTTTAGGAAATTAACTTTAATTATTAGGGCTTTTAGATCACAGCCTCATATTTCAAAAGTATTGCTTTTTGGTAAACTTTTCAACATTTGTGTATTTTACTGGCATGGTACGTATTGCAGAACAGTGCATATTTCAGTG